TGTGCTTTTAAAGTTGTAGCAACGTTTCAGCAGAATCTCATCTGCCAGAAGCCTGATGATGGCAGATGAGATTCTGCCAAAATGTTGCTACAACTTTAAAAGCACAACTATAATGACGTGGGAAAATACCCGAACAAAGCTGAATACCATTATCTATCTATCTATCTATTTATCTATCTATCTATCTATACATATACATATACATATACATATACATATATAGCGACTGTTGGAGACCCCTGTTATATTGTTTGATGACATTCTGATATTATAACAATGTAAAGACTGCTGATATATGTCAAAAGATCACCACGTTCAAATGTTTTTAAACCTTAATTTTCAATAAAAAATTTTAAAAATAATAATCCATAATTATATTATTATCAGAAATTGATGTCCTTTTATTCATGGAATACAAATGCAAATATACACACCTTAAGCAATTGTTTTTCATAGCTTTGAGCTTCTCCTGATTAAAGTTTTTAATCATTTTACATTGATTCTACTGAAAAAATATTTTAATCTATGTTTTCTAAACAGTACAATATGACATGTTGCCAAAATGGAATCTTCTACCTATATAGTGTACAAAAATATTGAAATGATATATTTAAATGTCAATAAATACAAAATTATTCAATTGTCCAAAAAAAAAAAAAACCCCAAAAAGACTTGTGGACTTCAACTCCCAGAATTCCTCAGCCAGCAAAGGAGGTGGGTCTCCAAGCTTGGCCCCTTTAAGACTTAAGCAAAGCTGGCTGAGGAATTCTGGGAGTTGAAGTCCACCAGTCTTAAAGGGGCCGAGCTTGGAGACCCCCCCCCCAGGTTAAACCGCAGAAAGCGCTTGCCCGGTTCCCGAGGGAAGAGAAAGGCTTGAGTGGGCGTGGCCCGGGAGGGGGGGCGGCGCTCCGAGGGAAGGTTCGACCTTCTGCAACCCGATCGGTGCTCCCTAGCCGGTGGCGCCCGCGGGCACCTCGTGACTTGGGCAGCCTTTCCCAGCCCTTTGCAACTGTCCAGCCTGGTTGGACCCTCCGCAATTGGAAGCAAGCCTCGGCGAGGACGGGGGGTGCGTCCCGACCCGAGACTCCCCCCCCCCCCGGCCCCGCTTGCTGCTCCGTGTTGCAAAGTCCGCTTCCTTGGGCTTTCTTGCTTGCAAGGGTCGCCTTTTGCTCCGAGGGCTCCGCTGGGCGGTGAGTAACACCCCAAAAGGGTGGGTTGGTGGGCTTCCTACCCCCCCCCCCCACCAAGTGGGAAGGGGATCCGGAGGAGACCCTGGCATGGCAAGGCGAGGCTGGAGGTCGACAGACCCAGCTGGGGAGCGGGCACCACCCAGCGATCTGCTTTTAAACCTTATCTAATTTTTACACGGATTAACAGCAGCTGGAATTGTGTTTGCACAACAGTGGAGAGAAACGAAGAGATCCCTACAGAGGAAAATGTAATACTATTACTAATGAGGAGGAGGAGGAGGAAGAGGAAGAGGAAGAGGGAGGGGTGGGGGAGGAGGAGGTCCTTGGTTAGGACTCAATCTGTTGAGCTACCAACCAGCCCCAAAGGCTGTGAATCTCACTGAAGATGATATTATTATTATTATTATTATTATTATTATTATTATTATTATTATTATTATTATATACAGAAAGGTATAGATTAATACTCAAAATTTAAAGAGAAGGAAGAAACCGAATACTTTTTTAAACATGGCATTTGTTTTTATCAAGGGCTAACTGGCAGAAACAGAGGTTAGAAACTTTAAAGGTGTAAGAGAATGATTAATTACATAAAGAAGGTTCACTAAAATGGATAAGCAAATATGATTAATATGTGATCCTTATTAATGTTATGAATATTGTTATGATGATTACATCTTAACACTAATTGTACCCAGACAACACACTTGTTTATGCAGGCATGGAATTTTTTTACGTTTAATTAAAAGGTAGAAATCTGAAAGGGGACAGTTGATTGGATAGGATAATGGCATACATGTTTATTAAAGTGAAGGTCTGAAGGGGAATAAATCGTAAGGAGAAAGGTGGTTTAGGGTTTCCAAAAGAGAGAAACCAGGCCCCAAGTTGTACTAACAATTTTTTCTTATCTGGAGCTCCTCCTGATTCCCTACGGGAGAGGCCGTTCACTGTCCACCTGTGCCTTTACTGGACCCTGGTTCCTTAACTGTTCTCCTGGCAGCTCTGTGCATGCGCACCCTGGGAACAGGCTCCAGCTGTTTATCTGCCCCACTGATCTTCGAAGGCAGCTTGTTTATCAGTTTAGGAATGTTAAAAGCTAATAAATCTGAACCTCCCTTTCAAAGAAAGAATGTCAATCAGATTAAAATACAAAGTAACTATGCTAGTTAACAAATTACAAAACCCGTGTCACAGGAGGTAGATCAGCAGGCCCAGTGATCATACATCATCGTTGTGGCTCTGGGCTTGGATTCAGCTCCTGTGATTGATATGAGTTCAAGTGAAGAGGTCATGGCAGAACAATATGAGCCGGCCTGGCTTACTGATTGGACTGATAACCAGGATGAGGAGAGGGACGTGACAAAGGACGACAGACCTGATGTATTAGAATTGTCAGGACTTTTGACCTCCTCTGGTTCCTTATCTGATCAACAGCCGGGAATGGCTGACAGGGAAGTTTTGAGAGAGTCTTCTAGTGGAGATGAGAACTTGGAAAATTTGTGGTTAAATGTAAAAAATAGAAGACGGTTGAAAAGGCAAAATCAGCTGGAGCGAATGAGAAGGGCAAGTCAGTAAATTAGCACGTTGCCTTAATGAGTATAAAAGGACACAGCTGGGCTGGTACATTTCGCCAGGAACAAAATAACTATTTGAGTGAAGACGTTACAGCAAAGAGCTCTGAGGCTGGAGATTTATTGCCAGGACTGGTTTGCCGGACAGAGTAAAGATTTATGCTGTGGTTTCTGCCAGCCGTTATCTTGCAAGACTTCTTTCCGTTTGATTTAATTGTGAAACGGCTGCTTTCTGTTTTGTTCATTTGAATTTCGAAGGGGAGTCATAACACATTGTTATAGTAACATTGTACATAATACACTCGTCTTTCAACTTCTGATCCTTTCCTTTACATACTGATTTTAGAATATTATATAGAAGTATGCAGAATAATATTTCCCTTCTTTCTAATTTCTACCTCTATTCTAAATCTTAATAACACAAAGTTTATATTAGTTGGTATATTTTTGTTCGTTTACTGTTTCAATTCTTGTTGATTTTTGAATGTTTCCCATACTCCTCCTTTGGAATTTTGTATAAATTACATTAATCAAACCTATATCATTATAGTATCATTATAAATATTATGATTAAAGTTGTTAACATTGTAGTATTTGCTCCACCTTGTATATAATCCTTCATTGTTTTAATTATTCAACATTTTAATACACATTACTAATAACCATAATAACACTATTTAATAGAATAGAATAGAATTCTTTATTGGCCGAGTGGGATTGGACATACAAGGAAGTTGGTGCAAAAGCTCTCAGTGTACATAAAGAAATAATAAAATACATTAATCAAGAATCATAAGATATACCACTTAGCGATAATCATAAGTTACTAATAATTACCATCATCTTTCAACTTCTGATCTATTCATCTACATACTGATTTTAAAATGTTATATAAGAATATACGTACCGGTATTTTCCCTCTTTCTAACTTCTACCTCTATTATAAATCTTATTAGCACAAGTCTTATATTAATAAGTATTCTATTTCTATCCATCCAGATGGCAGTAGATTTTAGATCAAACCCTCCTATTCTAGCACAATGCTAGACAGACAGACAGGCAGGCAGCATCCTTTGATTGGCCAAGTGTGATTGGACACACAAGGAATGTGCCTTCGTGCAAATGCTTTCAGTGTACATAAAAGAAAAGACACTTTAGTCAAGAATCATCAGGTACAACACTAATAATAGTCATAGGGTTCAATAAGCAATCAAATCCTACTAGGAAACAGTCCATATAAATCGTAAGGATACAAGCGACAAAGTTACAGTCACAAGTGGGAGGGGATGGGTGATAAGGAGTGGTGAAAAGGTTAATAGTGATAGTAGTGCAGACTTTGTAAATAGTTGGACAGTGTTGAGGGAATTATTTGTTTAGCAGAGTGATGGCGTTCGGGGAAAAAACTCCCCTTGTTTCTAATTGTTCTGGTGTGCAGAGCTCTGTAGCGTCGTTTTGAGGGTGGGAGCTGAAACAGTTTGTGTCCAGGATGTGAGGGGTCTGTAAATATTTTCACAGCCCTCTTTTTGACTCATGCAATAGACAGATCCTCAATTTAAGGCAGGTTGGTAGCCATTGTTTTTTCTGCAGTCCTAACTCCTCACTGGAGTCTGTGTCTGTTCTGTTGGGTTGCAGAACCGAACCAGACAGTGATAGAGGTGCAGATGACAGACTCCATCCTTCCTCTGTAGAACTGGATCAGCAGCTCCTTGGGCAGTTTGAGCTTCCTGAGTTGGCGCAGAAAGAACATTCACATAAACAACACTTGCTCAACAGCAGAGACCTTGAAATGTTTAGGAGATCCTATAATATCTCGCGACTTAAAATGGACACCGAACATCAACACCAGCCTTGAAAAGAAGCACCACAAAGAACGTTCTTTCTGCACCAACGGCAAAAGCTCAAGCTGTTGATAGACAGTCCTACAGAGGAATTGTCGAGCCTGTCATTTGCACCTAAATAAACCATCTGGTTTGGCACAGCAATCAAAACAGGGCAGGGAATGAGATCCAACGACAGGACTGCAGGAAAACACACACACACACACACACACACACACAATTGCAACCTCCTGTCTTCCATTGAGGATCTAAGTATTATGTACTGCATGAGCCAAAAAGAGGACAGTGAAAATATCTGCAGAGCCCTCGCGTCCTGGACATCAACTCTTTCAACTGCTTCCCTGCAGGATGCCACTATAGAACAGGGGTGTCAAACTCAACTGCGGGGTGCTTAGATCTGAAATCCAGGAAACAGCCAGCGCCTCTGCCAGCAAAAACGAAGCTCGGGTGGGCCGTGTTGTAGTCTGACCTGGGCTTCCCAAAATCACAAAGCCGACTCCTCGTCCAGACAAAACCCCTTTTATTTAGGCTAATGTGAATTCCTCTCATTCACATCCAGCAAAGTGCCAGCAAAACGGTCTTTCAAGAGGGATTTACAATTATAGACCTTTATTAGGCTGGGAGAGTTGCCAGGCCAATATCTTTCAAACGCCACACTGTAGCAGCCATTACTTGGCAAGGAGTCAGGAACAGACCTTCACCCTAATGAATTGAACTAATTGTCTCCTGCAAACCTCACTCCCCTTTCGCTCCTCTTTTATTCCCTATGGGAGGGGCCATTCTCCGTCCAACTGAGCCTTTACTCCCAAGCCGACCCTTATTCCTTAACTGTTCCCTTCTCCTGGCAGCTCTGTGCATGCGCACACTGGGAACAGGCTCCAGCTGTTCTTCTTCCCCACTGATCTCCGACTCGGAAGGAAGCTGATAATTGTCAGACAGACACTGCTATTCTCATTTTTTTTCCCTCTTCTCATCTTCCCTACTACCTTCTCCTATGGATATATTATGATTTATCCACTCTGATTGTATCTTAGGATTTATGATTGCATTGTTAAGATTGAGGATCTATGACTTGTCCCTTTGTTGTTTGTACGTACACTGGGAATCTGCGCACCAGAGACAAATTCCTTGTGTGTCTGATCACACTTGGCCAATAAACTATTCTATATGTGTTGGCTAGGGGAACTCTGGGAGTTAAAGTCTATCCATGCTGGCTAGGGGATTCTGGGCGTTACGGCCCAGCAATTTTGGCTGGGGAATTCTGGGAATTTGTTCCTTTGGGCTGGGGGATTCCTGGAGTTGAAGACCACACATGCTGGTTGGGGAATTCTGGGAGTCAAAGTCCATCCATTTTGGCTAGGGAATTCTGGGAGTTGGCACATACATGTTGGCTGGGGCATTCTGGGAGTTGAAGTCATCCATTTTGGCTGGGGCATTCTGGGAGTTGAAGCCATCCATTTTGGCTGGGGATTTCTGGGAGTTTTAAATCCACCCGTTTTAAAGTTGCTAACTTTAGAAAACTGCTCTAAAACCACGCCAGATTTATTCACTGAACATGACCAGAGATTTTCTCCCAAATCTTTGCTTCCATGCTTCGAGCTCTCCTGCACAAGTCTTGTCTTGTGATTTTGCATTTAGATTTTAAAAAATAAATAAAAATCACAAGCATCGATCGTTTATAATATCTTTCAGGGGTGCAGGGAATCCTTCATTTACAACCCGTTCGTTCGGTGACTCTTCAAAGTTACCAAGAGACCAAACAAAAAAATTACTTATGTCCGATCCTCGCACTTATGACTTTTTCTTCGTCCAGGAACGTTCTGGTCTCCAGAGAAGATGGCTGACATTCCAAGGGACTCTATGAAGTGGCACCTCTTCACAAGGAATAGGGACGTCACTTACCGCATCCCTGCCCTGATCTACCGGCCTGCGGAGACCATTTTCCTGGCTTTTGTGGAGGAACGCTCCTCACCCCGGGACGAACACGCCAAGGGCTTGGTGATGCGATGCGGACTCAAGGAGGGCCTGTCCGTTAAGGTAACCCTGCAGCCCAAAAGGTAGCCATGATCTTCTCAATCTATACAGGTGTCCTCGACCGTTGTTCCTTAGCTGTTCCCTTCTTCTGGCAGCTCTGCGCATGCGCATACTGGGAACAGGCTCCAGCTGTTCTTCTTCCCCACTGATCTCCGACTCCGAAGGCAGCTGATAACTGTCGGACGGCCCTGGCCCCATCTCTGCCTCCAACGCAGAGCCCTCGGCTGAGCCTTCCCCAGACCCCAGGACTGGCCCAGGTTCCCCCCCAACTTCCTCACTGTCCGAGTCTACCGCCAGCTCCGCGGGCCACTGGCGGGCCACAACAGTGGCTAAGGGAAACATTTAAGTGAGTTTTGCCCTGTTTTTACAGCCTTTCTGGCCACAGTTGTTAAGGGAATCGTTGCAGTTGCTAAGTTAGGAGACTCTGAGTTCTAGTCCTGCCTTAGCCATGAAAGCCAGCTGGGTGACTTTGAACTAATCACCAGCTGAAGGGGAGTTGTAGTTCTACTTTTAGAATTAAAGCCAGCTGGGTGATTTTTGAACCATTCACCAGTCTCCTAGTGATTGGCCCAAAGTCACCCAGCTGGCTTTCATGCTTATGGTGGAACTAGAACTCACCATCTCCTGGTGATTGGCCCAAAGTCACCCAGTTGGCTTTCATGCCTAAGGCAGGACTAGAACTCACTGTCTCCTGGTGATTGGCCCAAAGTCACCCAGTCAGCTTTCATTCCTAAGGCAGGACTAGAACTCCCCATCTCCTGGTGATGGGCCCAAAGTCACCCAATCAGCTTTCATGCCTAAGGCGGGACTAGAACTCACCATCTCCTGATGATTGGCCCAAAGTCACCCAGTTGGCTTTCATGCCTAAGGTGGGACTAGAACTCACCGTCTCCTGGTGATTGGCCCAAAGTCACCCAGCCGGCTCTCACTCCTAAGGCTTCCAAAGACTAGAACTCACTTGTCTCCTGGTTTCATACCTTAGGGACCGTCTGCTCCAGCTGGAATCTGTACAGGTAGTCCTCGACTTACAACCACTCATTTAGTGACCATTCAAAGTTACAACAGAGAACCGGTTGCTGAAATTTTTTGAACCCCCATCCCTGATGGTAACCTTCCCTTGGAGCCGAGTGTGCAGGACACAAATATTCTGCCACTGGTGGGTCTGGGTGTGGAGTTGTGTTTCAAGTTCGGCTAAAAATAAACGGCACACACATTCCCGTCGCGTTAGCCTCCAAAATTAAAAATATAGCCGTTTCTAGCACTTCGCTCTGCTAGCATCAAAAAATAAAAATAAAAACATGTCAAGCTCCTCTATAGAGAAGGCATGTGTGACATAAAAATGTACATCAAATGTACATAAAAATGAATCAATAGACTTTTGATAATCTGATCCATAGGATGCTTTGTTAGGGAAAATACTGCAGTATGGACCCTTCTACTCCAGAAAAATGACATTTTCTAGGAGGAAGGAGACCCTTCCATTTAGTGAATACAGCTTATATAAGTTTAGCAAATCACATGGTTACATAATCAGTCCTGTTTCCATATACGGATGTTATACATTTTCATAAAAGGTTCCAACCTCTCGTGGACCACTTTCAACATCAAATTCCAGAGGATTATAAGAAAACATTAATATCTTTGAATGTGACACTTCTAATGACAGAGCGCCCCACAGCACGTACCTCTAAATTCATGCCAAGTACAGAGAGTTGTAATATTATTCCTAGCGGAAAACACATTTCATAACTGTTCTAAGCTATAAAAGTTCAAACTGCAGACACAAAATGGCTTCGGTTCGGCTCTTTATATCCTCAGGTGTAATAACCAAAGTTTACTTATAACAATTCCACCGTTTTTTCCTTTTGTAAGTAATTTACACCTGAGAATTTCATTAAAAAAAAAAAAAATATTTGTCATTACACTCGCAAGCGGGTGCAACGAAATGAGGTGCTCTTCTACAAGTAAAACTGGACAACACCATTGAAAGAAAAATAAAAACTAAACACAACAAACCATACAATAATCTCTATACAATTTAAAAATGTAAATGCCCCATTACTCTCAGCCATTAAATTCCACAAAAATCTTATGACCCTGCATTCAAACTCAAAACTGCCCTTGGATAAAAACTGTTCTTAAATCTAGTCATCCTTGTTCTTAATACCCTGAATCTCCTTCTCGATGGTAATAGTTCAAAGAGCTGATGTCCCGGATGAGAGGAGTCATTCAATATATTAAATATCTTCCTCTTACATCTATTCCTATACCGTTCTTCCAAAGAGGGGAGTGAGCAGCCAATGATGTTTTGGGCCATCTTAATCACCCTCTGAATTGCCTTTTTCTCTGCCACTGTGCAGCTCGAGAACCATACACAGAGACAGTAGGATAATATACTCTCAATTGAACTCCGATAGAAGGTAGTCAGTAGACTCTCAGCCAGTTGTTGTTTCCTAAGAATCCTTAGTAAATACAACCGTTGTTGTGCCTTCTTAATTAAAGCAGCGGTGTTTGCACTCCAGGTCAGGTCATTTGTAATGATGGTCCCGAGATACTTACATTACTAACCTGTTCCACACGAACTCCCTCTATATACAGTGGCTGAATGTCTGCTCTTTTTTTCCTATAGTCCACTATAACCTCCTTGGTCTTCTTAATGTTAAATAGAAGATTATTATTTTTGCACCAGTGAGATAGCTGTAATACCTCATCCCGATATGCAAACTCATCATCCCCAGAAATAAGTCCTACAAGCGTAGTATCGTCTGCAGATTTTATTATCTTATTGTTGGGATGTTTATTTGTGCAATCAGATGAATAAATGGAGAACAGCAGTGGACTAAGGACACAACCTTGCGGAGTGCCAATGCTAAGTGTCTTGACAGTAGAAATTTAATCATTCAGTTTAACTCTTTGTGGACGATTTGTTAAAAAAATCCAATATCCATAAACAAATAGAATCTGGAAAAACTAGATCTTTGAGCTTGGCTATTAATCTGTACGGTATGATGGTGTTGAAAGCAGAACTAAAATCTGTGAGCAACATTCTTACATAATTCCCCGGTGTTTCCAAATTTCCATCAGGCTCTTGCAACATCAGCCTAACTTCCTGCTTACTAAACGTCTTACGTTTTACTTCAGGTTGCTTAGTCTTACAACAGCAGAAACACAACTTACATAGCATCACATTCTGTAAAAGAGGCATCGTTAAACACGAATGTTTTTCCTCTATATTTCTTCACACATTCATCCACAGATTCATGATCGGCACCTCATCGTATAATTTAATTTCTTTGTTTATATCCTTAACATGGGCAGTTGTCACCGGCAGTCCTTGACTTAACGGCCACAATAGAGGCCAGAATTCCCGTTACTAAGCAAGACAGTTCTTAAGTGAGCGTTGCCCCGTTTTAGCTGCGTTAAGCAAATCACTGCAGTTGTTAAGTGAAAGGCGTCCCCCATGAGGAAGTAAGTAACCGTGTTACTAAGTTAACAACTGCAGTGATTCGCTTAACGGCGGCAAGAAAGGACCGCAAAATGGGGCAAACCTCACTTGATAAACGTCTCGCTTAACAACAAAAATGTTGGTCACACGTTGAGAACTTGCCTCTATTTAGTAACAACGAATAGCGGATAGAAACATATATGGAAATAAAAGTGGTGACGCCATTTTCCCTACACCCCCTGAAATTTCTCCTTGGGGTTTAAGGGTTCTAGATTTAGAAGCCCGTATCAATGGACTTTCCAGAATAGAGAATAACAGAGTTGAAAGGGACCTTAGAGGTCTTCTAGTCTAACCCCCTGTTCAGTCAGTGCAGGAAACAGTCTCCTGTTTCAGACAACTGGCTGTCCAGTCTCTTCTTTAAAATCCTCCAGGGATGGAGCACGCACAACTTCTAGTAGCAAGCTGTTCCACTGGGTTAATTGTTCTGTCAGGAAATTTCTCCTTATTTCTAGGTTGGATCTTTCCCTGAACAGCTTCCATCATCCGTTGCTTCTTGTCCTGCCTTCAGGTGCTTTGGGGAATAAGTTGACACACATCCCTTCTTCTTTGTAGCAGATCTTGGAAGATCGCCCCTAAATTCTTTCCTCCGGTAGACCAGACATACCCAGTTCTTAATTCAGACTTATTTTGACCAGGGGTGGGTTTCAAATAGTTTAACAACCGGTTCTCTGCCCGGTTGCTGGGTGGGCGTGGCCGAGTTGGCCTCCTGCACCACCCTGGTTATGAAAACGGGCCGTTGGGGGGGGTGCATTTTCGTCCTCCCCGGGCTCGGGAGGCTTTCCTCGAATCTCCGGGAAGGCAAAAATGGCCTCCTCCGGGTCAGGAGGCTTTCTGGAGCAGTGGTCGCCAGCCAGTGGGCCGGGGACCACTGGTGGTCCACGAGAAAATTTTGGTGGTCCGCAGAGAAATGTCCCTCCCAAAGCAATTAATCCAGGCTGCACGGGAACACAAGGCTGCACCGCCCACATGGCCCGCGGGAACACAAGGCTTGCATTACGAGCAACACGAGGTAGTGAGGGGAGGGGGGAAAGGGCGGAGGGGGGGAACTTGTCCCATGCACCCCACACGCCTGGCCTGGCCACTGGGCTGCTTCTTTCCGCTTCTTCCTTCTTCTGCTTTTGGCTGCACGCAAGGAAAGCAGAAAAAAATCTTTCTTTCTCTCCCCCAAACTCCGCCAGAAAAGAGTCTTTGGGGACCCTGCAAGGCCTCCTGCTCCAAGAGGCTGCGCCGGTAAAGACTCATTTCTGGCCGAGTTTGGGGGAGAGAAAGAAAGACTTCTGCAGCTTCTGCTGCTTTCCTTGCATGAAGCCAAAAGTCTCTCTCTCTCTTTCTCTCCCCCTGAGAACAGAGCTGGAGACAGTATCCTGCGATCCCAAATAAAGAACAATCAATTGGTAGGAAAACGGGGTGGGGGATTTCCCTGCAGACTTTTTGGGGGGGATTTTCCCAGGGTCTCTGGTCCGCGAGATTTAAAAGGATGAGTTTGGGGCTCCCTGAGGTCCAAAAGTCTGGCGACCCCTGCTCTGGAGGCTGTTTCCAGCCTTCTGCAACTTCCAGAATGCCTATTTTTCGCCCTCCACAAGCCTCCACATGGCCCTGCGCTAATCTGCGATCCAAAACGTGCTGTGTGGGGACTCCTGGGAGGAGTGGGTGGGGCCAGCCGAGGGTGGGATTTGCCGGTTCACCGAACTGGCCATAAGATTAACAAACCAGTTCACCTGAACCGCTGCGAACCAGTAAGCAGACCACCCCTAATTTTGACCCTTATTTTGTCCTAGTGGGGTCCTTTCACCCGTCTGAAGACAGCTGGGCTGCCCAATCATCGCACCATGAACCCGTGCCCAGTTTACGACAAGAAGAATGATGTCGTCTTCCTCTTCTTCATCTGCGTCAGGGACGGCATTTCGGAACAGCATCAGATTAGGACGAGGAGAAACGCTGTCCGACTGGGCTACATCTCCAACGAAGGTGGCAGCCGCCACTGGAGCTCAATGACTGACCTGACCGAACAGGTGATGGGTGATGATGAGGCGCAGAAATGGGCGACCTTTGCCGTGGGACCAGGCCACGGAGTACAGCTGAGTTCGGGGCGCCTGGTGATCCCAGCTTATGCCTACTACGTCCACAAGTCCTGGTTAGGGTACTCCTTCCCGTGGTGGGTCAAACCCCACTGCTTCAGCTTCTACAGCGACGACGGCGGGCAAACCTGGGCCCGGAGTGAGCTCCTCAAAGCCCTGAAGACCACCGAGTGCCAGATGGCCGAAGTGACCGGCAAGGACAACAGGCAGGTGTTATATTGTAACGCCCGAAGTTTGCACAAATTCCGAGCCGAGGCCTACAGCGCGGACAGTGGGTGCCATTTTGCAGACCACGCCCTTTGCAAACAGTTGTGTGAACTGCCTTCGGGGTGTCAAGGAAGCATTGTGAGTTTTTTCCCCTCGGATCCGGGCCCAAAGAAGGACCCCAACGCGTCAACCTCTGAGACGGAGGCATCTCCATCGTCTGCTTCGCCCAGCTGTCCAAAGTCATGGTTGATGTTCTCACATCCCACCAGCAAGAAGAAGCGGGTGGATCTGGGGATCTACCTGAACCCTTCCCCGATGGAGCAGAACAGGTGGACGTCCCCTTGGATCCTAAATAAAGGACCCAGCGGGTACTCGGATTTGGCTGTTTGTGAAGACGGGGAACCACTTGCCTTCGGCTGTTTGTTTGAGTGCGGAGAGCACAAGGCATACGAGGACGTCGTGTTCTGCCTCTTCACCCACGATGAGCTCCTGAGAAACGTGAAAGTGTGAGGGAAAGTCCGTCCGACGGCACGTTTCCCTCAGCGAAGGAGCTCTGTAAAGGGTGGTTCTGTGCTTGGCAACCGACCGGGAAGGCCCTACAGGCTCTTCCTCGCGTCACATCTTGTGTGTTAAGCTGCTGGCTTTTAATTATAACAGAATCACAGAGTTGGGAAAGGTCCTTAGAGGTCTTCTAGTCCACCCCCCTGCTCATGCAGGAGATCCTATATCATTTCAGACGAATGGCTGTCCAATCTCTTCTTGAACACCTCCAATGTTGGAGCATTCACAATTTCTGGTGGCATGCAGTTCCACCGATTAATTCTTCTCACGGTTAGGAAATGACCTCCTTAGTTCCGGGTTGCTTCTCTCCTGGATCGTCCTAAAGACGCTAAAGGAATAGGTAATAGGAAAAATGAGAAGGATAACGGTAATAAAGCTCTTACTATATGGTTTGATATCCTAGGGCTGTGGCCCACTACCGGACTGTAGGCTGTTTGGAACTAGGCTGTGCAAGCAGCAGGCAAGCACGTGTGTGGCGCGAAGCTCCACTCGGTGGTGCGCGAAGCTTTACTCTCATGAGTAAAGTTCTATTCGCGTGAGCGGAGGGTGTTGGCGCTCACGCAGAACTCTGCATGCTTGCACCCGCATCTGCCACTCACACAACACCATCCCCTCTCTCCCTCCCCTCTCCACGCTCCCCATGCCAAGCCAAAAACGTTGGGGACCACCATCCCAGTGCATAAGACAGCGCTGTGGGAATTAAGTGTTCCGCAGAGTGACGGCGCTAGAGGAAAAAGCTGTCTTCGTGCCTAGCTGTTTTGGTGTGCAATGCTCTATAGAAATTAAAAATTTAAACAGTTAATGTCCAGGATGTGTGGGGTCTGCAGATAATTCCTGCAGGAGACAGGTCCTTAACGGAAGGCAGGCTGGTTGCAACTGGTTTACCTTGGTGACTATATTTTTAGCCGGATTCCCCTTATCTTAATGGCTCTACTTAAGTGTTTCCCTGGTCAGCTTTGTTACTTTTGTAACAGCAGGCTGCTCTGAGTTTTCCTTTCAGCTGGTGCTTCTTGGTTTTCTTAAAGGGCCGGCTTAAGTCTTTTGGCACTGCTTTAGTGGTTCCTGGCACTGTCCTTTGGGGTGCACTCCCCAGAGGGTGTACGGGACCCACCCTTTGACTGTAAGAATTGCTGTAAGGTGGTAATCGGGGCCTTGGCAGCTTTCAAAGCCAGGGTCTTTATATCTTGATACCAAAATAAAAGTATATTCTTGTAGCACACCTTGTGTGTTTGGCGACTCATCGGCTTCGACACCAAGCTAAGGCCCAGTTTGGGGGGACAACATTTAAGCGAAACGTCTCTCTGAATTGGAATTCTTTATTGGCCAAGCGTGAAGTTTTGTCTTAATAAAAGAAGACGTGTGATGCATTGTGAAAGGTTATGGTCATGTCATCCTCAAATACATTTAATTAATAATTGTCACCCTCTGTTTCCAGATATGGTCGTCTAAGTCAGCAGTCTGCAAAAGAGCCGTCTGGGTTTTTTTCTTCTCTCTCTCTCTCTCTCTCTCTTTTTCTTTCTCTCTCTCTCTCCCCCCTTCTCTCTCTCATTTGTTTCCCTCTCTTCCCCCTCTCTCATTTCTCTCTCTCCCTTCTTTTTCTCTTTCACTTCTTTCTCTTTCCTCTCTCATTTTCTCCCTCCATCATTTTCGCATTTCTCTCTTTTCCTCCCCTTTTCTCTCACCTAAAGAATATTTCAGTCAAAAGAAAGATATGGTTAATAAAGTTAAAGTTTTGTTCGTTCAGGTTCAAAATTGCATCAGCATTAAAAGTAGTGACTTACGACCGGTCCTCGCGCTTACGACCATCGCGGCACCATCCCCATGGTCACATAATCAGAATTCAAGCTCTTGGCAACTGGTATCCACAGGAGGTCCTCAACCTACAACATTTAGTGACCCAAGTTACAACAGCGGTGAAAAAGTATCTCATGACCGCTTTTCACACTTATGACCAATGCAGCATCCCCATGGTCATGTAATCAAAATTTGGATGCTTGGCAACTAACTCGTATTTATGACGGTTGTCCTGTCCCCGGGGTCACCTGATCCCCTTTTGCAACCCTCTGATGAGCAAAGTCAACAGGGAAGCAAGATTCACTTAATGACCGTGTTACTAACTTAATCACTGCACTGATTCACTTAACAAGAAAGGTTGTAAGATGGGGCAAAGCTCACTTAACAAACGTCTCACTTAACGACAGAAACATTTGGGTTCAGTTGGGGTCGTAAGTAAAGGACTGCTCATATCAGACTCAGGACTGCAGCACCTCGAGTGACCACTAGGGGGCCGCAGGCAAACTCTCCCTTCACATTGTGTGAAAGGCATCAACTTTCGCCAACAGGGGTGCCCTTCCGATGCGTCGATCTGGCGCATGTGTGTACGATGCAACCCGTGCACGTGTGCAGAATGTACTTCTCACGAAACACATCGCGGCTCCCCAGAAAAATCTTTTCATATTAGAATTATAGGCCTTTATCTATCTATATATATATAAAAACAAAATATCCCTCACGCATCACCACAAAGTCTCCAGAACCGTAAAGCCTACAAAATTGAAATTTGGCCCTCTTGGCTTCTAGGTGCTCACTAAGAAAGGATTTTTCCAAATAACCCTCAGAGCATTTAGAGTATTTCCTATGTTGTTGTTATTATTTATTATTTATTTATTTATTATTATTATTATTTATTTTTATTATTTATTCTTATTTTTATTCTTATTATTTTTATTTATTTTATTATTTTTCTTTTTTTTATTATCATTATTTATTATTATTTATTATCATCATCATCATGCTCTGATGCTAAGGCAGTGACGGCTAACCTATGACACGCGTGTCCCTCGTGACACGCCGAGGCACTTTGACTGACACGCCTGTTGGTGTGGGGAAAACTGCACATGTAGAGGCTGCCTGTGCTTGGCTCCAATCCCTGCTCCCTGCTTGTTGCGTGGAGGCGTGGTGTCACCGCTGCCGCAAGATCTTTGCAGCAGAGAACCAGTTTTAACCGCCATAAACTGAGGTTTGTCCGTTTCATTACCTCAGGAACGCTACAGAAGGATAGGAGATCCGTGAGGTTCACAGCCCTGTAAGGTGGCCTTCCGATCCCCACATCCTGCACCTGCAGCCCTGAGACCAGGGAGACGAGTTTCACGGCCCTGTGTGATCCCCCCCCCAGCCCTGTCCGTCATAAACCAAATCATTGATATTTCTTGAAGTGACACACGACGCGAGGAAGGCTACACTTTTTCCCGATTTTCGACACGCCAAGCTGAAAAGATTAGCCATCACTGGGCTAAGGTGTTCTACTCCACCTCCCCACCTGAAAAGAAGTCCCCTTCCAAATGCAAAACACAAGCAGAGCACCAAGCAGCTTTAGTACAGAACAGTTGAGCTAAGCCACGCCCCAGGCTCCTTGCTGTCTCCTCCTTGCTCAAACAGCAAATACTCTTTCCGTTTCCAAACAGCCCTCAACTCTCCCACACTGACAGGACGCTAGCCAGATGAATACCGATGGAGGCTGGTAGGCAGAGGCAGAATTTTTTTACCCCCTTCTTTTCCTCCCCCCAAAAAACTAAGCCCGGTCACAGAGATTCGTAGCGAAGCACGTGGGTCCCCGGCTCGTTCGAAAATACGACGCGTGTCTTGCATAAAGAACTTATCGAAGTCCCGATGTTTCGCGTGCAGCTCAGCTGCAAAAACCCGATGCCATTTCCGCGGGACGAAATTCGTTGCAATAAGGGGGGGTATCCGACGCCCGAGTTTTTGCTCCCGCGGACTCCACACGAGCCCCGTGGCCGTGCACACGTGCACACACACACACACGCACACACACACAAGCCGTTTGGCGCTGCGCTGCGAGAGGAGCCTGGCGCCCGCGGGCGCCCGGCCGGGCTCCATCCCTCCTCCCCACCCCCACCCCCCAGTCCCGTAACTCCGCGGTTGCTGGGGCCGGTAGGTGGGGCCCCGGGGGGGGGAGGCACGTCCACCCGGTAGAGCAGGGCTGGCGGGGGAGGAGCGGAGGAAGGGAGGAGGAGGAGAAGAAAACCGGGGAGGTTCCGGCGTTGCAGATCCTCGCGAGCAGCAGCGGCCGCCGAGTCCGCAGCGCGGTGAGTGAGGGGGAGAGGGAGGGAGGAGAAATTCCCGGGGGGGGAAAGGAGGGGGGGGAACCCC